CACACGCACCTGTCTCACCACACGCACCTGTCTCACCACACGCACCTGTCTCACCACACACACGTGATACACTAAATACACACCTGTCTCACAACACACTTGACACGCCACACACACACACACACCTGTCTCACAACACATTTGACTCTCCATACATACACACATCTGACACACCCCACACACCTGACACACCACACACACACACCCTATACACACCACACATACCTGGCACACCACACGCACCTGACACTCACCTGCCACACCTAACACACACCTGACACACCCCACACACTTGACACACCCCCACACACCTGGCACACCCCACACACCTGGCACACCTCACACACCACACACACCCGACATTCCACACACCTGACACACTCCACACATCTGACACACCCCACACACTTGACACACCACACACACCTGATTAAAATATTGTTTGTCGTAAGTTAAGTGCGTCATCAGTCAAAAGTTTTGCCAATCAAACGAGTTGGTAGTCCAGACACCATTTCCAGTTTAACAAGCACCCAATCAAGAGTGTAATCAATTAGCCGTGCTACCTATGTCATCAGTCAAGTGCGATACCAATCAAACCCTATAATCACTCATATGCTCAACCAATCAAACCTGTCACCAGTCATATGTACTACCAAACACCTGTATCACTAGTCATATGTGCGACCAAACAGCTGTGTCACCAGTTAGGTGTGTCACCAATCGAGCTTGGCATTAATCAGGTGTGTCAACCTCCCCAACAATCAGCACACCTGCCGGGTAGGTGTACAGGTAAGACCACGTGCGGTCAACGTATAATACCTGTCAGCATTATTGATCGTCTTCACACTGTCACCTGAGCAAACAGCTACTGTGATGGCGGGTTTGTCTTCCCTCTCCAGTTTTGTCCAATAATCTATCTTTAATATTAATTTTCACTTACTTTTATTCCTAAGGATGTAGATAATGCTATCCTGGTGCGTCTCACTTCTGATTTATATGACAAGAGGAGGTGAAGCTTATGAAAATACCCGAATATTTTTATCAATTCGTTTTCCGGTTTAATATTCGGATGGACATCTTACTTACATACAAGAAAGGGGCGTTTTGCATATACATGAGGTCCTTACATGCATGAATGGGCGCCTCCGGTCATCTATCACGCGAATGGACAGCAATTAACCGAAGACCAGCCAATCAGCCACCAGTACATACCTTACCTTTGGGAGGGACCAATGGGAATGCAGGAATCACCAAGCCCCGCCCCTCATTAGCACCGGGGTTATGTTGAACAAGCAGGCGGTCAATACCACCCATGTTATAACCTGTTCGCGACGACAGGGGGCGTGGGTGGCTAGGGGCAGGATGTGTGAGTGTGTGATAGGATTGTTAGAAGAAGGATGTGTTGGTGTGAGGATCAAGGAACAACGCAGAGTTAGGTAAAGGTTATAATGGTATGTGGGGGGGAGGTACGAGGGGGTCGAATGAGAGAGGAGAGGATGGGAGGGGAGGCCAGTGACGGGGTAAGACACTGGAAAAAACTGAAGGTTGGTGGGTGGGTGATGAGAAAGGCTTTAAGAGTGGCCTTGGCCTCCTCGTCTCCCGAGAACCAATCTGTTCCTTATACTGATTTTGAATATACTGCTTCACTACATGAAAGAACTACTCTAGATCTTATCATATTACCAACAAATTGTTTATCTTCTTCAGTTTTCTTAATTCTATATGATGTGTTAAGGGACAGCAAACTCGTTGATGCCTTCTTATAAGTCCTTGTTCCCGAGAACAGTAAGGGCTCATGACCTAAGGGTTTCTTTGTTACCAGAGACAGGCGGTACAGGACTCCCGGATGTGCTTCACTTATAATCTCCGTCATAAGGTCTTCAGATTTGGTATTATCTATGTGTGCTGTTTGTGGTAATTCTACGTATTCCTTATCTCTGAATTGTCAGCAAAAAGAATCATCTCATGTGAAGAATACAGATTTTCCCGATGAAAGATGTCCAGCTGTATTTCCTCTAGATGAGATCTGAACAGGCACAGAGCGGCGGTTGTTAGTTATTGTTTTGATTCAAACATATTCTTTTTAAATACAATTCAAAATTATTTTGCCATTTCACGTACACTATCTTTTACTTCGTTGATATTCACAGTATCTCGTCAGGTCTATTGAGGTATAATCTTAAGTTTAATCGAAGGCTAAGTTTTTCATGCAGAATTCTTTGAAAAAGGTGAAAGTGGGTTACTTAGGCATGGTGGTCTATTTGGGTCAGTCCGGACAAAGTTCAATGAAATCTGATATTTTCATCCGGTATCACTCAGCGGCCGAATAGTTACAGAGCCCTGCACCTTATTTCCCACGAGTTGCTGGCTCACGCCAGGGGCAAACCCAGTCCACCAAGCTTTGAATGGGTACCGAACTTAACAGTTAGGAAAGGGAAGGCCACACTGTCCATAGGAATACCGAACAATTAGTATTCATGTGCTGTATCCACACTGCCCGCAGCTGGGCGTCAAAACTATGGACAACGTTTACTTTTCACTTCTTTGAAAACATGTTTATTGTTATAAATACTTTACATTGATGTTATATAACTTGGCAAAAATTACTAAAATAATTTTGTTTACATGACTTCTGTTTTATGAACAATATTCTTTGTAACAGTTTGTAAAATCATAAAGTTTTGATGCAATAGTGGATTTTTAATACTGGTGTGACTCTGCTCATTAATATATTGTTGGCTTTAAGGCAAATTAATTTTTTTTTATATAATATGAACCAATTTCTTTTTTTTATTTACCTTTTGCAGAAATGCAAAATAACTAATTTTCATATAAAATTGTTACGACGGACTTAGTTCTCCATTGGCGTAGAAAATTTCAGGCTACTGCTAACAGAGTTGATCCAATTACCTTATACAGTATCTTATTAACCTTCTTATTCTCGTTCTATGAGATATAAAGCACTTAAGGTTGACAACAGGTGGACAAAACCATGAGTACTCCTCGCTGTGGTAAACATCTCCCCTATCTTTATTTAACGTGGTGTCCCAATTAGGATTTAGTTACACGTAAAATTGTATGCTGGGGATAATACAACTTTGTTTCTTTATTTATTTCTGTCTCTTGCTGCAACAATAGTATCGTCTAACTCACCCTTGTAAACGCTGCCTTAATGTCTTCCAGTAAACCTATACATTCACAGACAGTGTTGTGATCAAGAGGTTAGTGGTTGGATTCTCTTTTCTGCTGTCGAAAGTGTCTGTAGTCCATTTTTTTTACTCTTTGGTATTAATAATCTTCACCGGGACAAATGCTCTAAATTTATGAAGACAGACACACACACACACACACACACACACACACACACACACACACAGAGGCATAAGTTGGAAACCAAACTCTTTATTCTGGAAAAAATGCAAAGTATGTATATCATACTTTTTTGTTCTTTTTTATTTTTCTAATTTATTATGTTTCTTAATTTTGGGATATTTTCGGAATCGCTATCGGTAGATAAAGCTTTTATTATTTATTTAAAGTAAAGCCAAGCTGCCGGTGGAGGAACACGTGCTGTAGAAATGTACTACAAGATGGCGGGTCAAGGGTTATGTTGGGTGAGTGGAAGACCTATATCTTGTGAGGCTGGTAACGTCTGCCTATGATATGATGTTTGAGTCTACATAACACCTTAAGATATGATTAGTCTAACAAGGCCCTCGATCATAATGGATATATAATTAAAGGCTTTACAATACTAGCATATGCAGCTTGAAAAATACCTTCGGTCTTCTTCGTCTACGAATGACTGAGAGACAGACCGAGTCCTCCCAAGAGCCCCTAGAAGGCCTTGGTCCTCATGAGTTACAGTATATTTATCTTTCTCTTTTCTTCTCACCTTTTTCACTCATTATCTCCGTTCTACCTACTCATCCCTGAAGCCATTACTTACATGGAGACAAACGAGGAGATTCTGTGTGTATCAATCTCTTCTATAAACTCAGAAAATCGTGATGTAATGTCACTTACCTTTAAAAGTCCATGCGATGTAATTTTATATACATTTGAGGACCTGTTTTATAATTGTCTCCCCTGGTCTTATTCCCGTTTTCTCTCTGGGGTTATGTTACGCCTGACAATCCTCACCAGCTGATTCCCTGTACGTATGCGTGTTGTGTATCCAATCTTGTCTTCATGTCTACAGTGAAACCCGATATTATGTTTCACTGTCAGTATATGATTTATCTCTCTATCTCTCTTTCGGTTTTTTCTCGTTCTTCTAACTTTCTCTCTCCATTCATTCTCCTGGTATTCTCATTGTATTTCTCATTCCCTCTTTTGCTAAATAATAATCTTAGGTCAGGTCTTATTGGCCCTACTGATAAGGTTTTTTCACCGATCACCTGAAGATTAGACACCCCAGCTTATATCATCTGGAGATTAACCTAACCTAACCCAATTCCTTACTAGATTACGTTCGGGTGTTTAATCTGAAGTGAAATAGGCTAGGCCGCTTGGGTCATAACACAACTTATCTCTCCAGGTTTAGTTATTTTGTACAATTCTTTCAATTTTTTTTACAGGTTTAATCCTCCTAAAATATCATCAATTTCTTCTTCAGTTTGTTTACATTGAGTCACTGGTCCCTACATGACGTTGTGTGATTTCTGTGTGATTCTTCTTTTCCTGTTTAACATGTAATCTCTCTCGTGTACAAAGTGGTATAGATAATAACAACGACAATGTAGATTCTGTATAACTTGCTTGGTGGTCATACCCAAATGGTCGTGCCCTGGTTGATCGTGTTCTAATGGTCGTATTCTAATGGTCGAACTACGTGGTCGTACCGTAATATTCATACCATAATAACCGTAATAGCCACTAATAGCTGTACCTAATAGCTGCACCCTAATAGCTTACCTAATAGCCGTACCCTAATAACCGTAACCTGGGGGCCACTCAAGACAAAACCACTACCACCACTCCGGGGTAAAACTCAGAACCTCATTATACAAATCTTTATTAAATCAAAAACATAAATACTGTGATGCCGTTTTCCTCTATACACCTTCTGTTTACATTTCATATTCGTTGTGATTTTGAGATTATCATTATTATTATTTTTTTTTTGGAAGGATGAGTGGATACGGGGTCAGTGTGTCAAGATTAAAGGGGTAGGGGGTAAAGGAAAAGGGGGGGGGGTGGATTAAGGGATGGAGATGGATTGGAGGGTTTTTTTGGAGGAACATGGAGAGGGAAGAGGGAATTTTTCGAAAAATCACAAACGTTTGTTGTACTTACAAAGTTATGAAAACCTTTTTTGTTTTATGTTTTTTTCTCAAGATTAGAGATTGCCAGTAATTATGTCAGTCATGAAGATAAACAGGACCCCTTTTTTAACATCATTGAGAGAGAGAACTAAAATGACACAGACACAATACATAATACATATAAGATAATTAAATAAAACACAAAAAAAAATATAAAAACGAAGGAAGATAAAAAAAAGTTGTGTCATTTGCATATTATTAAAAAAAACCCGAACGCTGAATAAAATCATCATAAAACTTTGAAAAACATGAGAAAAAAATTACATAATTGGGTCATTTTTCTAGTATATAATTTTAAGAAAAAAACAATAATTTGGTGAGAGACAAAAAAAAAAAGAGTACAATTATTTATCTTCATCACTGCGGCTCATAACTCCGGTGATCTTATAATAGCAGAATGATTCCCTTGACTTGAGAGAAGCAATTTTCTCTCCGTACAATAAAAAGTTATAGGAGTGACATCGACGCTTCGGTACACCAGGCGGCCCGTGTGTCTGACAGTGTGTGACAATAGTACAGTATGTGACAATGGTAGAGTGTGTGACAATGGTAGAGTGTGTGACAATGGTAGAGTGTGTGACAATGGTAGAGTGTGTGACAATGGTAGAGTGTGTGACAATGGTAGAGTGTGTGACAAAGGTAAAGTGAAACAATGGTACAGTGTGTGTGTGACAATGGTACAGTGTGTGACAATGGTACAACGTGTGTATGTGACAATGGTACAGTGTGTGACAATGGTACTATGTGTGACTGGTACAGCGTGTGACAATGATACAATGTGTGACAGTGGTACAATGTGTGACAGTGGTACAATGGGTGGCAGTGGTACAGTGTCAAATAATAGTACAATGTATGTGTGTGTGTGACAATAGTACAGTGTGTGATAATGGTAGTGTCTTACAAAGGTAAATTGTCTGAGGTAAGTTGCTCATTAACGGTAGTGTCAACAACGGTACAATTGGTGACAATGGTACAGTGTCTCAGAGCGATAACGTGTCGATAAGGTGTTGGATAACATTATAGGGTTGATCAATGGTACTGTTGTTTAACAACGGTACAGCGTTTGCTAGCGGTGCAATGTCTGACAACAGCACAATGTTTGACAATGATGTAATGTCTGACAATGGGGCTATTGTAACACAGTGATGGTGTAGCGTCACAGCTGTTTATCACCGGCAGTGAGGTGAGGACACCGTACCACTGTCACACAGTGTCCAACAGTGAAGGGTGCTGCCTTACTTGGCGAAGTGGACCTATGGCACTGCCAGGCGGCAGTAGAGGACACTGCATCAGTGAAAGACATTGTCTGGGAGCGCCTGGGTACCGGCGTTTGCTTCACAATGCATGCAAGACTCCTCTCAATGCTATTTATGGTTAAAACAAATGAGACACTTCACAGAGAAAGCATCATCGCGCACTACATAAATATTCCAGAAACCACAGAAATATTCCTTACCCTGGCCAGGGGTGACCTTGCTCGTGACCTGTCAGGTGGACCCGAGACCTAAGGAGACCTTCTGAAAGATATGTTCCCCTCCATTTCATTGGTGGGGAACCTGATCTCTCTATCTCTCATTTCTCCTTGACCTAGTTACCACCGGGTCACGCGGGTAGTTAAGACGTTACACCAATGAGAGCACATAGAATCATACAACAAATCAGAAGTAGTTTAAAAACTGTGTCGTTAACTTATTTTGTGAAATGCATCATCTCATGAAAATGTTATTTGGCCAGGGTAATGTAATAGGGAAACACGTTATAATAAAAATAGCCGACTAGTAATTATAGAGATAAACAATTTTACATTCAGTCACTTATCTACAACTCGCCTCTCGTACTGTACACTCCACGTGCGCCAAGTGACAAAAACTGTACCTCCCGTCTTAACCTCAGGTCGGGCGAGGTCTGCACTTTACATTGGCTTCAAGTTTTACACGTTATTCACTGTTTAGTAGATGCTACTAATATCAGAAACCGACTTTAAAAGCCAGGGGTTAATTTGAAGTTTCTAGGAGAGGACTTAGAAGTCCGAACTTGCCACTGTGCAAAGTAAAGAAGAGAAAGAATAGGACTGCACTACTTGCCCACTGTAGCAGGAGCCAAATGAGAATATCTGACTGAACTGAACACACACGGTCGATTCCTCAACGTCATCGTGTGAAACAAAGTTTTTTTATTGGGATCCCAGAGGGTCGTGTCCATATTGGGTGCGGCGGTGGCACAGAAGACTTGGTCCTGCAGTCCCCAAGAGACCAGCTCTCCGTCTCCCGCGCCCCTCAAATAAATAGTGACCTCAATAAGGTAAAAATCACAGTGTCAGTGGAATGAGGTGAAGAGTACGCTGGAGTATTATGAGTGTGGCGACCCACACCCTGGACACACTGCCTATCACTAGCACCTGAAAGACTTGGACGCCGGCTGGGCTGTGCTTTTGGTCCGCGCGACGGCTGCGAACACCGCATCAGGTGGCGCCCGAGGAGGAGGCCAGGTGGGGGGGTAAAGACCCTAGGTACCCACTGCTGAGGCCTCCGTCCCCGCACCCCATTTGACCAGCCCCGCCTCTTCCACCGCTGACCCCACTAGAGACGCTAGATACGCCTTGGGAGGGGTATAGGTGGGCGCCGCTGTAGGAGGGTTGAGGATCCACCGCCTCCATTGGCTGGGCGGCGGAGGTGAAGGCAGCGACGCCCTCGCGGCTGAGGCTGGCCAGCAAACTGCTGCGGCCGTCGGCGGAGGCGTGTCCCTAGGCCATCGCGCCCACTATACTGTTCGACGAAGAAAGACCTAAGCTCGACGCGGAGGGGATCTGGATCTGTGAGGTGGAGGAGAGGCCGAGTCCTACGCCCGACATGGCCGACATGCCGTGCATGGGCGGCGCCGACATGAAGCCCCCCGCCATGGAGGAGCCGTGCATCTGGCCGCCGTACATGTAGTGCGACATGGAGCCGAACCCAGAGCCTCCAGTCCCGAAGCCGCCGAAGCCTCCTTTATCCAGTGGTTTCAGCATGTCTGGGAAGCCTAGCATGCCCTTCTTCTTCTTAGATTTTGAACTCAACTTGCGATTGCGGGTCTGGATACCTTCTTTTTTCATGGACAGCGGCCGAGGCACCTGTAGGATACAGGAGTAAACACATTAGTTCACTGCTTCATGTACTGTAAATATAAAATATTATATGAAACAGTTAATGGGAATTACACAGCCATTGAAGCTCAAGCCAATTTATCCATGTCATGGTAGAACATCATTGAGGCCAAAAATATAATGATTATAACACCACCACACTAGAAGGAGGCATTCGTAGTTTTCTTCAGAGGCAATAAAACATTTAGAGTTTACTGTGTAAGGGTTGAGTGAGTAGGGCGTCCATAAGAGTGCTCCCGGCTGGTTCCCGCCCGCCCGCCTGCCCGCCCGCCACCCATCACCATAAACCCGTCGCTCACACCACCCACGTAAACACCATAACCCGAATTGTACCAGCCGGCCACAAGCCATTAATTCTGTGGGGGTCGAGGGAGCAAAACACCCTTACCGTCCCCTGGTATTTCAGCCTCTCTGGAAAACACCGCCCGCCTCATACAGCATACACAAAATAATTCATTGTTTTCCATACTTTTCATACAAACCATAGATTAAACAATGATTAAACCAAAATACCAACTTTTAACTTTTAAGTAGAATATTAATGATACTTTTTGTTTGTTTAAAGTGAATTTGCTTAATGGTTGCGCGGAAGCCATCGGCCATCCTCATCTTCCTGATACGTGATTGGTCGATGGATAACAGGTGGTGACCGATGATTGGTGGAGAGATAGTGAAGGCGGGGGCGTCGATAAGAACCGCGATTGTGGCTCTTCCGGGGAGGGGCACGCCACCCCTGTTATGGTCCCCGGGGATATTAATGGTAGGAGAATCTCGGTGGCTTTTGGCCTTTTCCAGAAACAATCGTCTCTTGCGCTTGAATTTTGTGATAGTTCACAAAGTTTAATTGGATTGTAATTTTTAGATTGTTTTTGGATTTCACGTGTCTTTTGTGTTTTTTTATAGAAGGGTCGTTTATCGACGTTTTCAAGAAATTGGATTGAATTCCTAATATGAAAGATAAGTGTAATTTGAGGCGAAGTCTGACCAACTAGGATTAAAACTAAAAACAAAAGCAAATTATTCATTGTTTTTATCTTCTTATTCTTCTTTTCCTTCTTATTAGCATTATATTATTATTATGAATAATAATAACAAGAATAAATTAACATCATTGTGGTTGTTGGTATCACTATACCTGATAATTTAAGATAAAATTAATCTAATCTAAAGTAAGTGAACCTAATTTACTGTGAGCAGTGGACCGTGACTGTGTTAAGGTCACAACACCAAGAACTCAACACAACACATACAAAGAAAAAAATAATATTGATGAATGTTAATAATTAAGACTTAATAAATTGGTTTGTTGTCTGTCTGTCTGTCTTTGTGATTGTATAATGTTCCTGTGATTGAATAGTACTGACCTCGTAATCTCGGCCACCACTATTACTTAACAAACCTTTGATATAATTCGTATATTCTAGACTCAACCCACCGTCCACTCCCGGTACGAGTGTCTGCCGAGCTTCATCATAGACATATGTTTTCACTAAAGTATCTGCAGCGTGAGTTAAGAGAGCAGAGGGGGACGATCGATGGGGGATCTCACGAAGACTTTTATATCCAATCTACCTGAGTGACTTACAAGTTCATGTTGAATATATTTTTGGGGAGGGCGAATTATTGTCTTTTAAGTCAACTTCGATAAGTAAGTGTGTCAGGGAACGACGGTGACTTATTGTGTGTTGTCTTAACGTGCAGTATTGTCGTGACAGAGACTTCTTATAGGATACAACGTGTGTGTGTGTGTGTGTGTGTGTGTGTGTGTGTGTGTGTGTGTGTGTCATTTTCTTCCCCTACCAATATTCAAAAATTAATGTAAGGGTAATTAACATACCTAAAAAAAAAAAAGAATAAATAGTCCTTTCCTAATTTATCGGTGTACTTCCAGAATTCAAACACTTAACAAAATCGAAAGCTCAGACGTTCCACAGTTAGTTTTTTTTTTTAACATGTAACCTACAGGTGCTTAGGTACAGGGCATACATACGTCACTAATAATAATAATAATAATAATAATAATAATAATAATAATAATAATAGCAGATATTCATGAGGCAACTTTTAAAATGTCAGACTTGAGCCCTAACACACACACACAGACACACACACACAATGGGGAGTACACCTCCAGATGGTCCCTATCAGCGTAACTCAAAACTGGTTAGTATAGGTCAGCCCAGGTCAGGTCAAGGGATGATATACAGTATAGGTAGTGTGAGAGGGGGGGTAGGGTAGGGGTAGGTAGGTGAGTAGAAACAACTACTCAACATAGGTCAACAGTCTTTCTTCAGGTCAATAATATTCCTCTTGGTGGTTTTAATGTGTTTCACCTCCCGCCTTCTTTAGACTTCTATTATTCTTCGTCTGCTTTTCTTTTCATTTCCGCCTTCTGTTTTATCTTCTTCATCTCGTTCACCACTTTAAGTAGCAGCTCTTTGCCCTCGTCATTATAACACTTCCTTTCTTTTTGCACTTGACTTGTGTTCTCATTTTTGTAAGTCCCTCGTCACTTCATCACCTTTACTTATCTCCCATTCTTATACAGCCTCATCCATTCTCTTCCCCTCCCCCATCCATCCTTTTCCTCTCTCCCCCATCATCCCTCCCACCCCCCCCCAGTCCTTCATCACTATCATCTATTCTCCTCCTCCCATCATTTCTCTCCAAGACCCACCTATTCTCTCTCTCACTCTCCCTCCTTCTTCCACTCTCTCCCCTCTACCACCCACACACCCTCCCCCTCTTCCTCTTTTCCTGCAGTCTTTCATCACCATATCCCATTTACCTCCCTCTTCCTTCCCTGCCTTCCCCATTCTCTTTCCCTGCCCACCCTACCCACCTTCACCACTCTTCCCCACTCACCTACCCCCTCTCCTTCCCTACCCTCCTTCACCACCCACCTCCAATCACCTACCCCCTCTCCTTCTCTACCTTCCCCACCTCCCACCCTCCTTCCCCACCCTCCCCACTCACCTCTCCTCCCTCTCCTCCCCCCCACTCTTTCACCTCGATATTTCCTGACTTCATTATCTTCACCTCTGATCAGGCGAGTCAGGAGAGCTTCTGACGCTCCACCCACGGTACCGTACACAACCCCAGCATATCTGAACCAGTATATGCTAGTATACTTCCAGGGATTAATAGTATACTTTCTCCTGTTAGAATTTACATCTGGAGAAGTTGAAGGAAATTCTGCTAGGTTTGGATCTAGATGAGAATGCTGGTATATACTTGTTGGGAGAATTGATCTGATTGGTATTCATCTGTGTGTTCTAAGTATATTGTGTGACAGGTCTCTCTCTCTCTCTCTCTCTCTCTCTCTCTCTCTCTCTCTCTGATAGGTACAATAAGGATATTTTTCTTATTTACTGAATTATTAAAAAAAATCTTTATATACAAAGGATATTTTTCATTAAAGGTTACTGTAGAAGAAATGAGAGAGAGAGAGAGAGATCAGCAAAGGCACTTGAAAGCATCAAGAGAACTTGTGGTAGCCTATTTTTATACCACCCATCTCCCTCCTGCCCTCAACGTGTGTGTGTGTATGTGTTATATGCGTGTGTTTGTGTGCATCTTTCTCATGTGTGTGTGTATGTGCATGTGTGTGCGTGTGTCTGGTTCCCAGGGCCTGCACACGTACCCTTTCTCTATCTGTTTCTACATCTGTGTCCCGTTTTTGCCCTCTCAAACACCCCCCCACCCTCTCTGTTTCTCTGTCTGTAGGTGTTTTTGCTGTCGACCCTTCTTCTCCTCTCTCTCTCTCTCTCTCTTTCTGTGTCTCTAATTCTGTTCACTCGTCCAGGTTCTTCTCTCTACCTTTGATTCCCTTTTTCCGTTCACTCACTCACTCACTCTCTATCTTTCGTCGCTGGCTGTAGTTCTGTTTGCTTGTCTTTTCCCTAATCTCTCTCTCTCTCTCTCTAGTTCTTTTCATATTTTGCAGTTTCAACTTTCTCTCTCTTATTTCTGTTTCTTTTTCTAATTGCTGTTTTTTTTTCTCATCAGTTCATTTCTCCTTCACTACTTGATTCTTTCTTAATTCCTTCCTCTCTCCCTCTCTTCTTCAATTCTCTCTTCCTTCCTTCCTTTCTCTCTTTGTCTCTCATCCTTTCTCTTCCTTTCTGTATCTCTTCGCAGTCATTTTAAAACCCGTACAAAAACAAATCGTCATGTGTTTTTTTTTTAATTGCTATTTCCTCTCCTTTCCTTTTCTGCATTTGATATTATCCCTCGCCCTCCCGCCTGCCCCGGCATTCGCCCATGTGACCAGCGTAGTAGCAATTAGTCGGTTGGTCTGTAGAGATGGAGATCAAGATATTTTTTATTTATCTTTTCGTTCCTGTTTCTGTTTTTATTCCTTCTACATGGTGTCAGTTTGATGCCACCCCCTACCCCACCTTCCCCCCCTACCCCCACTTCCCCCACCCCACCTTCCCCACCTTCCCCCCTACCCTACCTTCCCCCCCTACCTTACTACCTTCCCTACCTTCTACCCCCACCCCCCTACTCCTCCTCCCCTCCCCACCCCACCTTCCCCCCCCTCCCTTTCCCCTACCCATCTTCCCCCCCTCAACCCCCACCCTACCTTCCCCCACCCCCCCCCACCCTACCTTTCCCCCCCCACCCCTACCCTCCCCCACCCCACCTTCCCCTTTTCCTCCCCTACCCTTTCTTCCCTACCCCACCCCTACCCCACGACTTGATGATTTTGCACAAAATTGTTTGTTTGTTTGTGTATCTGTCTGTCTGGTATTGTCTGTTCGTTGACTTTTTTTTCGTTTGTGACTCGTGATGTGTGGTGAGGTTAGGTGAGGTTTGTTTAGGTTAGTTTAGGTTAGGTTGAGATTGGTTAGGTTAGGTTAGGTTAGGTTAGGTTAGGTCGGGTTTGGTTAGGATGGGTTAGGTTGGGTTTGGTTAGGTTGGGTTTGGTTAGGTTGGGTTTGGTTAGGATGGGTTTGGTTGGG